TAATCATATCAGTTGTTCAGAATTATGCAGCTTAATTCCTACATATTTGTGAATTTTCCAGTTTGTATCCTGTTATCAATTTCTAGTTTCATACCATTGTGATCAGAAAAGATGATAGGATTTCAGTTTTCTTAAATTTGTTCACACTTGTTTTGTGGCCTAACATATGATCTATCCTGGAGAATGTCCCATGGGTGCTTAAGAATAATGTATATTTCATTGCAATTGAATAAAATGTTCTGTATATGTCTGTTAGGTTTATGTGGTCTAAAGTGTAGTTCAAGTTCAATATTTTCTTATTAATTTCTGTATAGATGATCTGTTCATTGTTAAAAGTTGGAGTATTGAGGTCCTCTACTACTATTGTATTATTGACTATCTCCCCTTTCACATATATTAATATGTGCTTTATGTATTTAGGTACTCTGATGTTGAGTACATATGTATTTACGATTGCTATATTCTCTTGATAAATTGACCCTTTTATCATTATATAATGACCTACTTTGTCTCTTTTTACAGTTTGACTTGAAGTCTATTTTGTCTGATATAAGTATGGCTACCATTCCTTTCTTTTCATTTCCATTTGCTTATAATGTTTTCTTTTCCCATGTCTTCACTTTCAGTCTGTGTCCTGAAAGGTGAGGAGAGCTTCTTAATAAGCATCATATAATTGGGTCTTATTTATTTATGCATTCAGCTACTGTCTTTTTGCTGGAGAATATAATCCATTTATATTCAAAATCATCATTGATAAGTAATGACATACTACTGCTATTTTGTAATTTGTCTTCTGGTTGTTTTATTTTGCTTTTTTCTGTGTTGCTTCCTTTGTGGTTTGATGGTTTTCTATAGTAGAATGCTTTTAATCTTTTCTATTTATTTTTTCTGTATCTGCTATAGAGTATTGCTTTGTGGTTATCATGAGGCTAACACAGACATTGTATACCTATACCAGGCTATTTCAAGCTGATAAATTAATTTTTATCTCACACCACAATTCTACATTTTTACTCCCCTTCACCATTTTATATTTTTTATGTCAAAATTTACATTATTTTGTAAACTGTCTTCCTTGACAATTTATTTTAGCTATAGCTGTTTTTATAGATTTGTCCTTTAACCATCATACTAGAGATGAAATTGCTTTACACACTATTACGGTCCTAGGGTGTTCAGAATATGACTCTGTATTACTTATATCATGAGTTTTATGCTTTCTTATGTTTTATGTTATTACTTAGCAGCATTTTGATTCAGCTTAAAGAATTTTTTTTAGAAATTCCTGTAAGAGGCAGGCTTAGCGGTGATGTACTCCATTAGCTTTTGTTTGTCTGGGAAAGTTTTTATCTCTTCCTCATTTATAAAGGACAGCTTTTTTGGGTAAATATTCTTGGTAATTTTTTCCCTTCAGCACTTTATATCATTCTGCTCTCTAATGGTCTTTCAGGGATCTGCTGAGAAATCTGCTGGTAGCTTTATTTGAACTACCTTGTATATGGTATGTTTCTTATCTCTTCCTGTTTTCACAATTTTTTCTTTTTCTTTGATTTTTGATAGTTTGATTATTATGTGTCATGGTGAACTCCTCTTTCAGTTGAATTTGATTGGAGATCTCTGGACTTCCCATACCTCAATATTTGTGCCTTTCCCCAGATATAGGAAGTCTTCAGCCATTATTTCTTTAAATAGTTTTCTGGCTTCTATTCTCTCCTGTTTCTGGAAATCCTATTCTATCAACTTTTGATCTCTTGATGATGCCTTATAATGTAGGCTTTCTTCCTTCTTAATTTTTTTCTTTTTGATCTTCTGCCTAGATGATTTACAATGTTCTATCTTTGAGTTCATTGATTCTTATGCTTTATGAGCCTACTGTTGAAGTTTTTTTGTTGCATTTTTTAGTTCAGTCATTGTATTAAGCTCAAAAATTTCTATTTGTTTTTTTTTAATTGCTTCTATTTCATTGTCAAATTTCTCATTGATTTCACATGTTTTCTATTTGTTTAATTTTCTATATGTATGGTTTTTGTTCACCTCACTTCTTTAAGAAGATTATTCTGAACTCTTTACCAGTCATTCCATAGATCTTCATTTCTGCAGGGTCTATTTTGGGGGCTTTATTATTTCCTTTTGGAAGTGTCATGATTCCCTTATTTTTGTGATCTTTGTGTCCTTGTGTTGATGTCTGTACGTTTGAGGAGACACTCACCTCTTTCAGTTTTACAGATGTTATTAAGCAGAAATAGACCCCTTCACTGTTTCGTGTAGCCTATGATTCTGGATGGGCCAGCTGATAAGAACCCTGGGCAGGCAGAGCTTGCTTTTGGGTTCTCTAGATGGCTGGGCCACCGTCTTTGCTCTGAGTTTAGGTGGGGCTGCTGGCTGGATTCTGCAGTCGGGCAGAGTTGCTGACTGGACACCACAATTGTCTCTGATTGGGATGGGTCATAGGGTGTATTTTCTAGCCAGGTGGTACTGCTGTTTGCATTCTGCAGTAAAATAGGGTTGCAGGCTAGTCCCTAAGGCTAGGTGGAATCACTGCTTAGGATAGATGGCAGCAGCCACTATGCTTAGTAGAAATACACAGTTGAGGTTTGCCTCCCAGCCTGGGTAGGGAATTGGAGCGGGCTTTGAGGTTGGACTGAACCACTGTTTGAACTCCCAGGTAGGGAAAGTCTAGCCCCTGAACTTTGCCAAAATGCACCATGCCAGATCTCTTTCCTCTTGGAAGGGCCTTGGGGTGGTCTCTGAGGCTGAGTCAAGTGCTCTTTACACTCCCATGGGGGCAGATCTATCTTCTGCCCTTTAGCAAAATGGGCTATGGAGGGTGTCTTTCTCTCTGGGTGGGGCCTTTGGGTGGGGTAAAAGACTGGGCATGAGGCTGGCAATCTAGGGATACAAGCCAAATAGAACTTCCCACCACTTCTGGAAACAACCAGCTTAGCTTTGCCAGTGTGCTAGGTAATGGCTGGTACCTCTGATGTGGTGCCATTGCTGGCAGGTACACAGAGCTACAACGAAGATTTCTGTGCTGGTCTCTGTGAGCTCTTTTCCTCGCTTTGTTTCTACCTGACCCTAGGTGATCTAGTCATGCCATTACCCTCATTTTCCCCCATGAAGTAAGACTTGAGTGGGCTTCCCATGAAGCATCTCAGAATACTTTGGCAACTGGATATTTGCCTCCAGTTCTCTTTCTATACTGTAGAAACTGTGGGCCTAGGATAATCCTCTCTGTTTGGTACTGTGCCAAGTTGGGGAGGTGGGTGACACAGCCAAAGTGAAACTATTTCTCCTACCCTTCTGATGCCATTTTTCATTGGATTCTGTGATCTATGAAGGTGTCTCAGACTTATTCCCAAGTTTTGAGGTTTTCACAAAGGTGTTCTTGTCTGTGGATAGTTGCTAGTTGAACTTTCTGTAGTGAGTAGTGAGGACTGGGACCTCCTATTCTGCTATCTTGCTTATGCCACTCCCTGAACACACATTTATTGTAGCTCCTGATTCTTTGGTTTTGCTTAGTAGTTTTGCTGAATTAATTTTGGGTTTTGTAGATCTCACTCTATGTCTACTGATAGCATCCAAGTCAGCTACAAACTTAACTGATCTTTAGCACGCTCTCTTAAATGTCTGGTGCCTTGACTAGGACAAATAAATATTACATTTAGATAAAATTCTGAAATGAAAATGTAATGAAAACTTGAGACCAAAGATTAAAAGGAAAGATTTAGAAAAGAGCTTATTCATTTATTTTTAAAAATAAGTGATAATGTGTATAAAATCATTATACTAATAAGATTCTATGCATATGTTTACATGAGTGAAGTTATAGCTTTATTTCTGAAGTCAAGATTTATAATATGCCTAAACTATATTTTTTGCAACTATTTCAACTTCTCATGAACAATTTCAGATATCAAGATCAGGGTCCAGGTTTATTTTTTGCAGATGATTGGCCATTTGAGTCAGTACTATGTATCAAATAAACCATCCTTTTCCTACTGAATTGAGATATCATATTTGTCACTTAAATACTCAGATTGAGTTTGAGGTTATCTATTCTCTTTAACCTGTTTTTAACTATTTTTAAGTGTACAATTTAGTAGCATTAAGTACATTTATATTTTTGTGGAACCATCACCACCATTTATCTCCAGAACTTTATCATCTTCCCAAACGGAAACTCTGTTCTCATTAAACACTAACTCCCTATTTCCTGTCCTTCCAGCCCCTGGCAGCCACTGTTCTACTTTCTATCTTTATGAATTTGACTTTCTATCTTTACAAATTCTGTCTTTATGAATTTGCATATAATTCATATGCATGATATCATTTTGTGACTGACTTATTTCACGTAGCATGATATTCATAAGGTTCATTCATGAACCTTACATTAGCATAATGTTATATTGGCATAACATTGTATTAGCATATATCAGAATTTCCTTCCTTTATAGGCTGAATAATATTCCATTTTATCCATTCATCTATCAGTGAACACTTGAGTTACTTTCACCTTTTGGCTATTGTGGATAATGCTGCTCTGAACATGAATATCCAAATACCTATTTGAGTCCCTGCTTTCAGTTCTTTTGGATATATACCCAATAACTGAAATGTTTTGCCTATTGCTATGCCAATATCATGCTTATTTCTAAGCATTTTATGATTTTTGTTTCCAATTGAAAGCAATCATTTTATTATTTATACTTCTAGATGCTTATTGCTATTACAAAAGGCTATTGATTTTGTATATTTTGTTGCACTTAATCACCTTATTATAATGATTCCTATATTTACAGGATTTTATTATATTATAATTTTATTATGGTTTCTTGGGTTTGCTTTCTTGTATTCCCTAGTATTTTGTTTAAACTTTATACCTGCACACACTTGGTGTTAGAGTTATGCTTACCTTATTAAATAATTAAGGGGATTTTCCACTGTGGCAGTCATGGAGGGTCACTGTTCTGGTCACCTCTTTAAAAAGAATTTACCTGGGAGACGTGGTGCCACTGCGGGCTCGCTCTGCGGTGCGCTAGGCTTGGTGGGAAGGCCTGTTCTCGAGTCCGCGCTTTTCGTCACCGCCATGTCGGGAGGTGGTGTGATTCGTGGGCCCGCAGGGAACAACGATTGCCGCATCTACGTGGGTAACTTACCTCCAGACATCCGAACCAAGGACATTGAGGACGTGTTCTACAAATACGGCGCTATCCGCGACATCGACCTCAAGAATCGCCGCAGGAGACCGCCCTTCGCCTTCGTTGAGTTCGAGGACCCGCGAGACGTGGAAGACGCGGTGTATGGTCGCGACGGCTATGATTATGATGGGTACCGTCTGCGGGTGGAGTTTCCTCCAAGCGGCCGTGGAACAGGCCGAGGCGGCAGCGGGGGTGGAGGTGGCGGAGCTCCCGAGGTCGCTATGGCCCCCATCCAGGCGGTCTGAAAACAGAGTAGTTGTCTCTGGACTGCCTCCAAGTGGAAGTTGGCAGGATTTAAAGGATCACATGCGTGAAGCAGGTGATGTATGTTATGCTGATGTTTACCGAGATGGCACTGGTGTCATGGAGTTTGTACGGAAAGAAGATATGACCTATGCAGTTCGAAAACTGGATAACACTAAGTTTAGATCTCATGAGGGAGAAACTGCCTACATCCGGGTTAAAGTTGATGGACCCAGAAGTCCAAGTTATGGAAGATCTCGATCTCGAAGCCATAGTCGTAGCAGAAGCCGTAGCAGAAGCAACAGCAGGAGTCGCAGTTACTCCCCAAGGAGAAGCAGAGGATCACCACGCTATTCTCCCCATCATAGCAGATCTCGCTCTCGTACATAAGATGATTGGTGACACTTTTTGTAGAACCCATGTTGTATACAGTTTTCCTTTATTCAGTACAATCTTTCATTTTTTAATTCAAACTGTTTTGTTCAGAATGGGCTAAAGTGTTGAATTGCATTCTTGGAATATCCCCTTGCTCCTAACATCTACATTCCCCTCGTGTCTTCGATAAAGTGTATTTTAAGTGATGTCATAGACAGGATTGTTTAAATTTAGTTAACTCCATACTCTTCAGACTGTGATATTGTGTAAATGTCTATTCTGCCCTGGTTTGTGTGAACTGGGATGTTGGGGGTGTTTGTGGTTATCTTACCTGGGGAAGTTCTTATGTTTATCTTGCTTTTCATGTGTCTTTCTGTAGACATATCTGAAGAGATGGATTAAGAATGCTTTGGATTAAGGATTGTGGAGCACATTTCAATCATTTTAGGATTGTCAAAAGGAGGATTGAGGAGGATCAGATCAATAATGGAGGCAATGGTATGACTCCAAGTGCTGTTGTCACAGATGAAATTGGCAGTACTGACCTTATACTAAAAGGCAGGGGTTAAAAATGATTATATACATTTTCCTTAAAACACTTGCAAACATTTTATTCAGTTATCTTTAGCTACAATTGCTTTGCTCTTTAAACCTTGGCAATTGTGGCAAAATTATATTGCCCATTTTGTAGCAACTTATTTTGCTCCCTTCCCCCCATTTTTGTTTTAATAGGGACTAATGTGGGAAGAACTGGCTAATTTGTCACAGTGCTTAGTTACAACTGTTAATGTGTGACCTGCTGTTGGTGTACATGTGGGTACAGGGTGTCTTTAAATCCAACAAGATAGAGTATAATATCAATACTGCTAAATCTGCATGTCCTCTGTGTGACTGATAGAGCGTTGCTATTTCATTTTTTTAAGACAAAATGAAAGCAAAATATAGAGTTCCAATGTATTGGTGTAGATAATCTAGTTGGGAATACTTTTAAGTCTCACCTTCCCCTTTAAACTAATATTCATAACTGATTCATATGTTTAAAAGACTTTAATTTACAAATTAAATTGCAAATGGGAGCATTAGATATAGTTTTAGACTTAGGTGGGTAGCAATGCCAGTAAACTTAAATTACGTAACTTCTTGCAACCACGAAACCTGTAATACACTGTACAGTAACAAGTGTTGGTATTATCAGTTGAACTGTAAATACAAAATGCTTCTTCCAATTAGTCTCTATGATGATTAAGTTTCTAATTTATCTAAACACCATTCAGAAACTTGTTTTGGGGAATTTGATAGTTATTGATGTGCATCTGTTAAACTGATGACAGACATAACTCATCATTCCCCAGAAACCTTTTTTGATTACAATATCTAACATTTTGCCTCCTCTTTTTTGGTTTTGCTGGTTATAAAGGTTTGGATTGGAGAGGGCTCACTGGATCCCAATCCTTGGAGCTGGATCATTGGATTCAAATCATAATGTGGATAGGATAGGGAGGATGAATTACCAGGATTCATGGAGCAGGATCAGATTACCAGGGACATAGGAGTGGATTCCTGCCCCAACCAAACCGCATTCGTGTGGATTTTTTTATTCAACTTAATTGGCTATTCCAAAGATTTTTTTTTCCTATTTTTGACAATTGGAGCCCTTAAGATGCACGATGGAATTGTGTTTTGCATTTTTTGGTAAAAGGAGCAAAGCGAGGACCTGGAGATAAACACTGGAGCAATCTCCTTGGAAGGATTCAGCACGAGTAGATGGTAAACATTTAAAGGGGAAAAGGGGGGTTTGTTTAAAATAGTAAATCAGTAAGTCACTTCTAAATTTAAAGAAAACAAAATTGGAGTTGAAGAATAAGTAGGTTTCCAATTGGCTTTTGCCATTTTTCTTTGAAAAAATAAACATTTTTTTAAAAACTAAATAAAAATAAAAATAAAATAAAAAATAAAAAGAACTTACCATTTGATTGCAAGGAGTGCAGTTAGCTGATAGCCTCCAGCTGTAAGTGCCTCCAGAATCTAAGCTGTTGAGCTGAGCCCATGCTTTTCTTGGGAAGCCATAGCCAATGACTGAGCGTGGTGCAGACACAAGGTCCTGGCCATTTCTGCCCAATACCAGACTTTGCTTATGAGCAGCATTTGCTGTGGAGGTGCCATTGGTATAACTGAAACTGTGTCAAATCTGCATGATAATCTGAGGCTCTCTTTGCCCAATCCTGCTTCCTCCTCCTATTATTCTTTTTAGGTGTTGCCTTAGTCTGTTTCCTGTTTATAACAGAATACCTGAAGGTGGATAGTTTAAAGAGGAACAAAATAATTTGTTTCTTACATTATGGAGGCCAAGAAGTCCGAGGCTGAGGGGCTGTGTTGGGTACGAACCTGCTTACTGTTGGGGACTCTCTGTGGAGTCCCAAAGCAGCAAATGGCATCACATGGTTAGGGGCTGAGTGTGCTAACTCAGGTCTCTCTTCTTCTTCTTATAAAGCCACCAGTCCTATTCTCATGACAAGCCATTGATCCATTAATCCATGCATGAATTAATCTATTCATGAAGGCAGAGTCCTCATGACCCAGTCACCTCTTAAAGGCACCGCTTCTCAATACCACATTGGGGATTAAATTTCAACCTGAATTTTGGAGGGAACAAATATTCAAACCATAGCAGACTTCTTACACTCCTAATTGAGAGAACTAGCTACAGTTCAAGATTATGACTGATATGCAAAACGTCACATATGGATTGGCAGTAAAACACATTTTAAAATGGACATGAAGTGTGTACAAAGGTAAATTCCTAGTAATTATTATGAATATCATGCACCCTACCCAAATATCCCAGGAGTAAATTAACCAATGAATTAATTTGTATCTTATTAACCAATTCAAATTACTCTTGCCCATTCTCTAAATATATGGAAGTAAGTTCTTCTTGCATTGAATAATTCACTTTCACATTTATTGATTTGTTTTAATACCTAGGATGCAGAACAGGTATTATGGATGAATAAATAGAATTCTTAAAAATTCAGATCCTGCTGCTGACTAGATAGGTGACCTTGGGCAAATTATTACACCATTCTGAGGTTTATGCATAGGACAGGAAATATTTATCTGCAGGTTTGTTTTAAAAGTTAGATATTATTTAAACAAAGTGCCAGGAGAGTGTCTAGCAAATAGTAAGTCTCAAATGTATTCTATAATTATTTTTTTTTATTATAAATGAAGTTTCAAGGTCACATGCTAAGTGCAGAGCCACTCGTGTACTTGTTTCTTTACTCCTAATCTGGAGCTTTTTGTTTCATCCTTTGTAAGTAGAAAGATAGGTGAGATGATAGAGTGGTTGATTGAAGGGACCTCAGAGAAGAGACCTTTAAGAAGGAAGAGGTGATATCTTAACTGAGAATGTTAGGCCAATGTCTCTGATTCCTTTTGGCTAAAGGCTCAGAAAGGAGAAATGCCCCCAAGCTGGTATTTAATTTATATGTATATTTGAGCAGAAATGCTTCTAAACTGATATTTCATATTATGTTTATGTTTATATATGATTTATATTTATATTATATGATAATTACACATTTGTTCAAATGTGATTACTACTTTTTTATGCTATATTGTAAACTGCAAAATTATGTGTTTTTATAAACACATTAAACACAATAAATAATGTGTTTTTATAAGTTGATCCCATGTTTTGTTATCCAGTTTATCTCAAGTTGAAGAACATCTGAGGTCAGAAAGTAGTAGTGGATCCATAGGATAAGCATAGTACATCTTTCCCAGGGTGTTAATTTTACTTAAAATTAATGTAGTAACATGGCATAACTTTTACACTAAAATAAATAAAAGCATATTATGGTGTAAAACAAAATTCACATATTTTAAAATAAAATCTGAAGCTTTGACAAATTTTATGACTATAGAACCATCCTTCTGGTAATGTTCGCTCTAAGAGATATTTTGATGTAAAATCTTGAGAAATACTTGAGAGATTAATAATTTGGAGAAAAATATTCTCCAAATTATTTTTATTCCAGTGTTCTTTTTTTATTTTACAAAGTTGAATTTTTAAAATTTACATTCTTTCTTATAATCAAATACTCTCTTTAGTTTTAAGATTATCTTACCAGAAATTTAAGGAAAATAAAAACTGCTTTGACATCTTCTGGAGCATTAACAGACACTCAAAATATCATATTTGCTATCCTGTAGGTAATGTATATGTATATATTTTCTGATTTCTATTTAAGTAGTTTGAAGTAAAGCTATATTAGTTACATTGTAACATTTTCTAATTGAATTGCAATTACATCTTTTAGATGTTTTGCTGAGGACTGTTAAAACTTCATCAGACTAAGGGGAAAAATATCAATTTTTCCTTATGGTAATTTTTCTGTACCTATAAATGTATACCTCTTGCTGCCTTATGAAGTTCATCATATCCTCCAGGGGGCACTAGATGCAATAGTAAATGTATTTATGTTATGCAAATGCAAATAACCTGTGGAGAAATAATGAGATGGGAAGGCAGCATTCTGACGCCATGGTGGTCATGCTGGAGTCGTTGTCACTGGATAGCATCCTGGTAATTGTGTCCTCCTGGGGATGTGAGTCCAGATCAAGCAGTTTGGCTGGAATGCACTTGGAATCTTAAAAGCTCTTTTGATTGAGAAATCATCAAGACAAGATTTGCAGAACCAGTATATATATACATATATACATACACACACACACACACACACACATACACACACATTTTTCTAGATTCCCGGTTCATTTCACCCTTATACAAGTGAATAGACAAGTAAAATCATATTTATGTATACCCTTTGCAGCTGTAGAATGGGTACAAATCCTATACAATGTTAAACTGTACTAAGGATATCTAGGCTGCATGTCCTAAGAGAAAGCATTTGTTCAAATTTATGTCATTGAAAACCAGCACACATATATCTTTTGTTGAGAACCTAGGACACAGTCTAGGCTAGAGACACCCTGAATGGGTACCTGAATTTACTCTGACTGATTCTAGGGTAAATTGTAAGCCTCCAAGGCAGCCTGAGGAGTCCTATATATTCTACAATATTTGATTCTAATCCAACATACACCTAATATTTCAGACCTTCATTGTTTCTAACCTAGTCTATTGATGTGCCATATCTATGTGTCTCTTGCCTCCTTACAAAGGAAAATCTCTAAATATATTTATAATAACTTTAAATAGCTGTCTAATGCTAGTTGATCTGTACTCACTGCTTATTCAGCATCTCAAAATGGAATTCATTTTCTCAGAATGAAACCTGCTCCTTCTAAAGTATTTTCAATCTTAATTCTTGATATCACTGTCTGTCTAGCTGTTCAAGGAGGAAGTATATTGTTTTTAAACACCTCTTTCCATTTCAGCTTTCATATCACATTGATCACTAAGATTTACCATTTTTTTCTCCCACATGTCCACTCAGGCTAACAACCTCATACTTAATGTCCCTGCTTCTAGTCTTGCCTCATTTTCATTAATGCTGTTTGCTAATAGCAGGGTGTTCTTTCTGAAAGTAGTTGGACTATTTTTAAGTTTCAATTCTTTGAATTATACACTACTTATTCAGGATAAGTTTCAAAATTTTTTTAGCAGAGCATACAAGGTGTTTCAGGATCTGTCTCTGGTTGCCTTCAGATCCTCATCTCCTCTGCCCATTCTCCATCCCCCCACATCATGTGTCCACAGTGAACTGAATATTTTCATGTAGTTTAAGAACATTCACATATAATAAATTAAATTTACTCGTCTTGGGGTAGATTTCTATAAATTTTAACAAATACATATAGTAATTTAGCCACAACAGTAATTGAGATACAGAGAAGTTTCATCGTCCTAAAAAAACACCTCATGCTATCCCTTTGTAATAAAGCTCTTTGTAGTCTAAGCTTTTGAGCTGAGCCCATACTCTTCTTGGGAAGCCACAGCCAATGACTGAGCATGGTGCAGACACAAAGTCCCGGCCATTTCTGCGCAATACCAGACTTTGCTAATGGGCAGTATTTGCTGTGGAGATGCCATTGATATAACTGAAACTCTGTCAGATCTGCATAATAATCTGAGGCTCTCTTTACCCAATCTTTATCTCCAAGCACTGGTGAATTCTGGTCTGTGTTTAGTCCCTATAGCTTTACCTTTGACAGAATGTCAAATAAATGGAGCTGTACAGTATATAGCCTTTTAAATCTCTTTCACTTAGCACAAAGGATTTAAGATTTATTCATACCATAGCTCTCAATCATTTATATTTACCCCAAGCAAGACAGTCACTCCCATTAACTTATCTTGTCTTCATGACTTTGAGCATTCTTTGTTTCTGAAATGCCTTGTTAAATTGCTGAACATCTGCTCATTTAAAAAAACACAAACATCGTTAGCTCATTTGTCATTAAATGTGACTACTTCAGACCAACTTAGATATTATCTTGTCTATAATACTACCTTACATTGCAGTGATTTGTGTAGTTGCTTGTTTCTTCTATTCTAGGGATGGGTAAACTACAGCCTGTGGGCTATGTCCACAGGCAAAATCAGCTCACTCCACCAATCTGTCCCCCAGCTTTATGTGACAGAGATAGTATGTGGCCTACAAAACCTAAAATATTTGCCAAGTAGTTCTTTACAGAGAAAATTTGGCATCTCCTACTCCACTTGACTATGAAATCTTTGCATCCTCAGAATGTAACTATATCAGTTAGGGCTTGGTTAGGAAAACGGAAACCATGTTAGATATTTTAACACAGAAAGTTTTAATATAATGATATGGTTTTAAGAATGTTAGAAGGGTGGGAGAAGCATACAGGAAATTAATTAACCAGAGCCCTGGAACCAAAACTCCTATTGTCCTTATAAGGGCTAGAAATCAGAACTTCTGCTT